AACTCTGCTGGTAGTCGGAGAAGCGGGGGCCGAGCTCGCGGCAGTTGCAATCGTCGGAGGTGCAAATCCACATGGTATGACGCCGTACGTCGGCGGCGAAAAAAAAACCGAGGAACCTATAGACCATCGATGTCACGCGGTATAGATGGGCTCCAACTTCGCCTCTGGTCTTGCATCGGAACAAGGTGTACATCACTCCACTTCGCGGCGAGAAGGGCAAGCAACAGTCCCGCCCGCTTGTCTTAAAATAACCACAATGGCTTCAATTATCCAAACGTAACATTCCGTCTGTTAAAACCGATAGAGGGTGACATAGGCAACGGCCTCTGACAGAGCCCCAAGGCACATTGCGTCGAACGTCGGGGCAGCGCAACCTCTGGTCCAGGGCAGTCCGCGTCAGAAAAGGTATATGTCAACACTGGAGCTGTTGATCGAGATCTCGGGCCTCGTCGCCAGGATCGGGGTCGTCTGCGGGCTGATCGTCGGGAACGCTGCATTGCATGGAAAACTCCGTTGCCTCGACGTCGGCTGGCTGTTTCGGATTCGATCGAATGTGCCGCACTGCATGAGGCCGAATGTCGTCGAACTGCTAGCGTTTCAAGGTGAAAACCCGACTTCTCCATCCCGAGCAGTGCCACTTCGAAGAAATACAGAGATCTGCCGCTCTTTCATAACAAGGCGTGCACAGTCGGGGCGTTGACCTAAGGAACCCTAAATAAGGAACGAGGCTCCTTTTTTCTTCATAAGTTAAGCTTCGATGTCCCATCGAAAACATAAGAACAACCTGAGGCAAACTGTGACACGCTTAAGAAACACGGAGCCCCTCCCCAACGAAAAGGGTTCCTTTTTCAGCGACCCGACTGTATGAGGCGACGTCGGGCCCCTTGGCGTGGATGGCGGACGGCACGGACGCGCTCGGCAACGCACGCTGACAAGCCTCTGCCGTCATGAAGCACAGCCTTCCCAAAGGTAGGGGCCTAAGTGACTGACTCCCCATCGCATCAACAACGGCTTGCATTGGGCCCTCTGGTGGGCAAAAAGGAGGACACGAGAGACACGATGGGAGGGACTTTCCATGATTGAAGCGCCGCTCGGACATCTGCAGCAATGAGTGAGATTATCAAGTTTTGTTGCTCGTCGTGGGACATTATTCTGCTGGAGGGCCCGTCGTAGTCGCAAGATACCTGCAAGGAACAAGAGCGCGTTTCTTTATTCGGGCTAAATTAAGCATTATGGGGGGGGCGAGGGGGGGGTATAATGTAACGCCCTCCCCCGCCGCGCGGCTCCGGCACCACACCCGCGCCCGCGCGCACGACGACGATGAGCGACGAGCGACGAGCGACGAGCGACGACGACGACGACGACGACGACGACGACGACGACGACGACGACGACGACGAGAGCAGCATGTAGGTGGCGACCTGCCCAACAGCGCCTGTGTACACCACAATGCTCGCGTGCACCACAGCGCGCGCGTAACCCACAGCGCCTGCGTACACCGAAACAGCCGTGTGCGACGAATCGCCTGTGTACACCACAGTGCTTGCGTGCACCACAGCGCCAGTGTACAGCACAGCGAATGATTCGCAGCAACCATGAGCAACACAGCGCCTGTGTACACTACAATGCTTGCGTGCACCGCAGCGCCTGTGCACACCACAGCGTCTGCCTACACCACAGCATCCGCATGCACGCAGCGCTGGTGCACACCACAGCGCCTGCGTGCACAGGAAAGGTAGAACGAGCATCCAAGTGAGGATCTGCTGCGGACAACTAAAACGCCACGCCCGGGAAGCGCTGATAATAGAATGCGACGTTCTTCTGTCCTCCCTCCTCCGCCACATCAACCTCCTCCTCCTCCCCCTCCACCGAAGGGGAGGAGAAGGAGAAGGAGAAGGAGGAGGAGGACAAGGAGGAGAAAGAGGAAGAGGAGAGGGAGGAGCAGAAGGAAGAGAAAAAGTTGTTACCGGGAACACAAAGCCACAATTTCGGATCCCTATGCGTATCCCAGTGCGAATCCCTATGCGAATCCGAATGCGGATCCCAAGGCGGATCCCTATGCGTATCCATGCGCGGATCCCTATGCGGATGCTTATGCGGATCCCGATGCGGATCCAGATGCGGATGCCTATGCGGATGCCCATGCACTGTGCCATGCGAATCTCTATGCGAATACATATGCGGCTCCTTACGCCTTACGCGGCGTGCGGATCCCTATGCAGATACGCATGCGCATGCCTATGCAGACCCCCATGAGATTTCCAAGGCGGACCAGGCTCCTACGCGGATTCCTATGCGGACGCCGACGACGATCCCCCGATGCACACGGCGGCAATGCCCGGCTGGAGCGCACTGGGGGGGGAGGGGCGTTTCGTTATACGGGGGGGGCCGGGGGCGCTACAATGCCCACGATGCCCAAAGCGATAAAGAAACACGCTCCAACGCCAGCGCAGTGGAACTCCAAGGGCACACGCTTCGGAAAGGTCGGTCGTGTGCTGGAACGCCATGACGTTGGTGAGTCGTGCTGTCGCATGCCCGTGGTTCCGCTGATCCCACATCCACGCACACAGTTGTTTTTTTGATCCGCCGGTCGAGAGCGCACCTCTTCCGGTCGAAGCTAAGCGGGCCGCGCGAAGCTTGAATTAGGCAGAGAAGAGGAGGGAGGAAGCGGCGGAGCCTCAGAGCGAGGCCGAGAGGAGGCATAGCCTCGGATACAGGCGGTGCAGACATCCACGCACACAGACGGCTCACTGCATCACAGCGTGAGATCTGTTTATCTCCAGACAGAGTGACATCCATCAGGTCGTGCACCAAGTTGTGGTCTTGGGGGCGGAGCTGATCGAGAGGCCATCGGGCCGTGGGCCTCTCCACCGCCTGCCCGGATGCTGCGGGTCCACAGACCAGCGACGGCTGGACCACGAACTCGAACTGTTACTCGATGTCCTCTGCAAGTAGGCGGCCCACGTCTACGGGTGGCGGATGCCCTCCTCCGCCACGCTCGGAGATAACTCTGGTGCAACTTGCTGCTCCATGGGTGAAAGGTGGTCGTGGGGAATCTGGCAGGTTCGCGTGAATCGGAGTGCCCAGCCTGGCCGTGGCCCGACAAGCGCTGCCACCCGAGAGCGGACGTCGAGATGGGAGAAAGGTCCTCCACTGCCGCGGGTCCCGTCAACGGTCTCTGCGCCGCAGGAGAGGACGCACCAGGGCACGATGTGAGGGCGCACCTGCCCGAAATGGGCAGGGACCGGATCCTTGAGCTCCCGTCCCGTCGCCACCCGCAGGGGGCGAGTCAAGGCAAGATATGAGAGAGTAACTGTTTCCGAGATTCCGGGTGTCATAATTCCAGATGTCTCGCCAGCGAATCGGAGCGCCCTCGTCGAGGGCGGCGGTCACGTGCAACCCTGTGGGCGCAACTTGGGGGCCCGACGCACTCCAAACGCTCGTGCCAGATGTGATGGAAGAGCAAACGAGAGGATGAGGAAGATGGATGGACACTGTCATGCATGAGCGACGGCGGGTGTGCGAGAGGGAGAGGAGGAGGAGGAGGAGGAGGAGGCGGAGGAGGAGGAGGAAGAGGAGGAAGAGGAAGAGGAGGACGGAGGGAGAAACATAAAGAGAGAGAGAGAGAGAGTGGAGAAGGAGGAGGAGGAGGATCAGGAGGAGGAGCAGGAGGAGGAAGAGAGAGAGAGAGAGACAGAAAGCGCGAGAGAGAGAGAGAGCATGAGGACAGCGATCCCGAGAGGGAGGGGCGAGAGCGGAAACAGGCGGGGCCCGAGAGGGAGAGGCGGCGGGGAGAGGGCGGGACGGAAGAAGGGGACTTGTTTCGGCGGCGAGCGCGACGCCAAATCGACGCTGATCGACGCTGCATCAGCGAGTCCCCATCAAATATCACAGGCTGCCGCACGCCAGTGCGCTCAAAAGACAGAATTTCGAGGACATGCCAAAATCCCACGACTTGCAACCGAGAGGAGGGACGGGAATCAGCGGCGATCGAGGGGGGGAAGTGAGCAGGAGAGGGCCTTCCCAGAAGGCGGCGGGGCTTCTCAGAAGCCCTCTGGACTTCTGAAAAAGTGTCTGTGTCTTCGGGGTAGGCTGAGGAAACTTCTCAGAAGGCTGGGGGGACTTCCGAGCCTTCTGAGATGACCCGCCCCTTCTCACTTCCCCCCCTCGCTCGCCGCCGATGTTTTCTGGAGAGATAACTCGAGGACGAAATTCCTTCAGCGCAGACAGATCGTCAAGAGTTTGTGCATGCAGCGCTTTCGTCTTCGAAAAACTCGGACGAAAGAATGGCACCCAGAAAAACTGTACATCGTTGGGCCACTGCCACCTCCTACACTTCCCTGTTCGGGGCAACCCGCCAGGCGATCCTTTCTGGATAGAGCGGTGATGATATGTGGAGCGTCATGCACCATGTTACATGTTCCATGTTTCCGCTCCTTCGGTCACAGATGGACCTCAGAGGCCTCTGAACGACCCCACGAAGGCGTCAGACACCCCCAAGGGGCCTCCACGGAGTGCCCTGGAGGCATCGCACATGCCGGGCGACACTGCGGTCACGCCACACTACAACATCGCAACTTTACTTTCCTGCACGCGGCGCAACGCTCTACTGCTTCTGACTGCTGTGGCTGACCGGTGGAAGCAGCGGTTGGGAGCGCTAGACCCTCACCTGCAACGATCGCTAACTGCCCTTCGCTACGCGGGGCGTCGATACACGAGGAAGGTTGCTGAGCAAACGCATGTGCCTGGGTTGTTTTTCCCGTGTTGGGATAGCGCACTGGGACGAAAGTTACCCTGCGATCTCGGCCGGGCATATCGTTCAGGGACTCGATTTTTGGGGCACCGAGCCAGGAACCGAAAAGCGGATGAAAGAGAGAGGAGGGAGACCTGGAGCAGGGACGAGAAGGATGGACGTGGAACGCGAGGGAGGTGGCAAAGGGCGGGAGAGGCGGAACAAGATATGAAAGAAAACACGATGGAGAAAGGAGCGGGATCATCGCCTGGTGATCTGCTGCGCATCACCCGCAGCGGAGTGCAGCTGCTGCAGCACAGGCAGTGCTGCTGCCCCGCCTGCCACCCGCCCTTCTTGCTGTACCTCTTCTTTGTTCACTGTCAAGCCGCATAGTAAAGATGCACGATAAGGATACAAGGGCCTTGGAAGGCCATTTCGACGTTTTTCGAAAGAGGTGGCCAGCGCAAGTGGGCAAGGAGAAGCTGAAAGGGTAAGGATGCCAGGGTAACCTTGGGCTCAGCTTAGCATATCCCACGTGCCTGCCCCCCCCTTTTCCTCCCCTGCTTCCCCTCTCCTCGGGCCGGCGCTTGCGTCGGCGGCGGCTGGCGGCGGCGGCGGGGACGACGATTCCTTCTGGGCCGGCGCCAGCGCCTGCGGGCGGCGGCGGCGGGGACCGTCGACGAGGACGACGGTAGAGTGGTGATGGGTTGTGGTGGGTTATGATGGAGGTGGTGGCGGTGGTGGCGGTGGTGGCGGTTGTTGTGGTGGGGGTGTGGTGGTTTGTTGTGGTGGCGGTGGTGGTGGTTGTGGTGGGTGGTGGTCGTGGTGGTGGTGGTGGTTGAGTGGTAGTGTGGTGGTTTGTGGTGGTGGTGATTTGTGGTGGTTGTGGTGGTTTGGCGGTGGTGTGGTGGTGGTTTGAGGTGGTGGTGGTGGTGGCGGTAGTTTGTGGAGGTGACGGTGGTTTGTGGAGGTGGTGCTGGTGCTGGTGCTGGTGGCGGTGGCGGTGGTGTGGTGGTTCGTGGTGGTGGTGGGTTGTGTTGCTGGTAGTGGTGGTGGTTGTGGCGGTGGTGGTGTGGTAGATTGTGGTGGTGGTAGTGTTGGTAGTGGTGGTTTGTTTTTGTAGTGGTGGTGGTGATGGTGAGCTGTGGTGGTGGTGGTTGTGGTGGTGTGGTGGTGGTGTGGTGGTGGTTTGTGGTGGTGGTGGGTTGTGGTGGTGGCGGTGGTTTGTGAAGGTGGTGCTGGTGGTGGTGGTGGCATGGTGGTGGTGGTGGTGGTGTAATGGTGGTTTGTGGTGGTCGCGGTGGGTTATGCTGCTGATAGTGGTGGTGATTGTGGCGGTGGTGGTGGTGTGGTAGATTGTGGTGATGGTGGTAGTGGTGGGTTTTTGTGGTGGTGGCGGGGTTGGTGATGATGAGTTGTGGTGGTGGTGGTTGTGGTGGTGGTGGCTGTCGTGGTGGTCGTGGTTGTTGTGCGGTGGGTTGTTGCTGGTGGTGGTGGTGGGTTGAGGCGGTGGTGGTGGTGGTGGGTAGTAGTGGTGGCGCTGGTGATGGTGGTAGGTGTGGTAATCGTCGCTGCGTCCCCGCCGTCGCCGGCGCCAGCGCTGGCGCTGCTGGCCGCCGCCAGTGCCGGCGCTGGCGCCAGGGTGGGGGGGGGACCTTATCTCCCCCTTTTTGGGCTGCCTTTGGTCATCGTCGATGCATCCCCGCCGTCGGCGCCGCTGGCGACCGCCAGCGCCGGCGCCGGCGCTAAGGGGGGGGGTTCAAACCGCCCCCCCCTTGGGAGGGGGGGGGGTTTGGGAGGGAAGGGGTTCGGGGGGAGGGGAATCCCCCTGGTTTTAATCGACGGCGCCGGGTGTTGGGGAGGGCCCACCCCCCGATTCGAAACGCGCCGCCGACTGTTCCCAAGGCGAGCGCCCGCGAAACGCGTTCTCTCCCATCTCTGGATCACCGCCCTTCGCCCCGTCGCTCCTCCCCCCCACCCGGTCCACGGTGCGAGGGCCCGGGGGCACCGGGGGCCCTCGATCCCCAGGGGGTGGGGCTCTCCCCATGAAGCCCACCCGGCCCCGCGAGCAGGGCCTGCACGGCCGCGTGGCCCACGGGGGGCCACCCAGGACCTCAAAGATCATTACGCTACCGAGGAACCCCACATACTTATACTAGAACCACGCGCGCGCTTCGCGCGCTTAGGTTCTAGCAAGCGCAGGCGCTTGACAATACCACGGCTGCGCGCATTGACAGAGTCACGGCTGCACGAATGCACGTACCGACGAATGGCTTCAGCATGGTTTGAAAAATCAACATGAGCCTGGCCCCAGCAGAGAAGGGTCTCTTGGGCGCCGCCAGGGGTTAGTCCAGGGTCTCGCTGGGTGTTCGCGGCCCATCACACTGTGGAGCTCACGCTGTACAAGGTGATTACTCGATCAAGCGAGGCCATATTTATGGGGGAGCGGGCAAGGAGGGACTGAGGGGAGGGGGGCGAGAGAGAGGAGGGAAGATAAAGAATGGAACCGATGCCCCAGCGTCCGCTTGTGCCAGGAACGAATGCGCCGGATGGCATGACCCACTGGGAGACTTTTCGGAGGGAAGGGGAGAGGAGAAGGAGGGCGGTTCCAGGAGAGGCCCTGGGAGGGTGCCAAGAAGGCCTTGAACGACTACAGCAGGGCGCGACCTGAAGTCGCGCGAGAACCTCCAAGCGTGTCTTGCTTGTGGACCCCCTTGGGGCCTTCCTCCGGACACCTGGCCTTCTCTTGACGGCTCTCGAGGGCCAGAGCCACCCCAACAGGGTTCCAACAGTGTCCCGAACAGTGCAACACAGGCTCCACCTGAAGTTCTGCGGAAAACGCAACATAATCCAACGGGTCATTAGAGCGGAGGTGGTTTAGCGCGTTTCTTCTTCCAACCCTTTTCTTTCCCTTCGGGGATGGGCTGACTCCTCCCCCTACCCTCTCCCCCTGGACCTGCGGGGGAGGGTCGCGGGTCATTGGGGCGTCCAAGATGGCGCCAAGAGGGCCTGCGAAAGCCCAAGATTACATTCAAAATACCCCGAGATACTCTAAGATCGCTCTCAAGATGGGTTCTCACATGCTCGAAGCCTCCCAAGGGGGGCCCCAAGAGACCTCTTGGGGCCTCTTGGGGGCCTCTTGGGGGCCTATTGGGGCGGAAATCTCCATTGTCGGTTCGTATTCCCCCTCTTTGGCACCTCTTTGGGCCGCCTTGAAGCCCTCTTGGGCCGTCTTGGGCGCCTTTTGGACCGTTTGGGCGCCCTCTTGGGCTGTCTTGGGGGCCTCTCGGGGGCCTTTTGGGCCGTCTTGGGGCGATGTTCGAGGCTTCCTCGGCAATCTTGGAAGGTCAGAAGCCCGAAAACGCGGGCAAGCCAAAAACATTGAAAAACACAATGAAAATCTGTGATTTTATCCTCTTGGGGCTCTCTTGGAAAGCCTCTCGGAGCGCCCCTGGGGCTTCTTGGGGGCCCCTTTGGCCTTGATGGGGCTATCTTGAGAGTCTTGGAGCGCTCTTGGGCCGTCTTGGCGGCTTCTTGCCGTCCCCGGAAGCCGTGGTGGACGCCTCCGGGGGCGCAAAAGAGCCTCCGGACGCCCGGGGGCAAAGTGGGTTACGGGGGGGGGGGGGGGGGAAATTCGGGAGGGTGTCCCGGCCCGGGGCCCTGGCCCCCGGTACCCCGGTATATGATATATTATGGCTGGAGCGAAGATAGCTGAAGTGAAGCATGTGAGAATGATGTTGGTGGCCATTGCCCCGCCGGTACCGTTGGTGACGCCACTCAAGAGGAGAGGTCGAAGCGGAGAAGCGCTGCGCCAGGCACACTTTGCGAGCCTGGTGACCTGGACGACCGGCGCGCATAGCGGCCGCGGTGACGGACCACCCCCTGCGCACCCCGTCTGGCATCGAGAAGCGCCACGCTTGCTATGCCCTGGACGACCGTCGTGCATAGTGGCCGCGGTAAGGGACCAACCCCTGCGCACCCTCTATGGGGTCGAGAAAGTGCCACGCCTGCTATGCCCTGGACGACCGGCGCGCATAGCGGCCGCGGTGAGGGACCACCCCCTGCGCACCCCGTCTGGCGTCGAGAAAGTGCCACGCCTGATATGCCCTGGACGACCGTCGTGCATAGCGGCCGCGCTCAGGGACCACCTGCTGCGCAGCCCCTATGGTGTCGAGGAAGTGCCACGCCTGCCGCGCTTTGCGAGCCCGAAAAGGATAGGGAGACCACACCCCCAGCCCCTGTGGTGTCGAGGAACTGCCACGCCTGCCACGCTTTGCGAGCCCGAAAAGGATAGGGAGACCACCCCCGGCGCACCCCCTGTGGTGTCGAGGAAGTGCCACGCCTGCCACGCTTTGCGAGCCCGAAACGGATAGGGAGACCACCCCCAGCGCAGCCCCTGTGGTGTCGAAGAACTGCCACGCCTGCCACGCTTTGTGAGCCCGAAACGGATAGGGAGACCACCCCCAGCGCACCCCCTGTGGCGTCGAGGAAGTGCCACGCCTGCCACGCTTTGCGAGCCCGAAACGATAGGGAGACCACCCCCAGCGCACCCCCTATGGCGTCGAGGAAGTGGCACGCCTGCCACGCTTTGCGAGCCCGAAACGGATAGGGAGACCACCCCCAGCGCACCCCCTGTGGTGTCGAGGAAGTGCCACGCCTGCCACGCTTTTCAGAACCCGAAACGGATAGGGAGACCACCCCCAGCGCACCCCCTGTGGTGTCGAGGAAGTGCCACGCCTGCCACGCTTTGCGAGCCCGAAACGGATAGGGAGACCACCCCCAGCGCACCCCCTGTGGTACCGAGGAAGTGCCACGCCCGCCACGCTTTGCGAGCCCGACACGGATAGGGAGACCACCCCCAGGGCACCCCCTGTGGTGTCGAGGAAGTGCCACGCCTGCCACGCTGTGCGAGCCCGAAACGGATAGGGAGACCACCCCCTGCGCACCCCCATGTGGTTTCGAGAAAGTGCAACGCCTCTTGTTGTCGCGCATGTGCTGCGCACCCCCTCTGGTGAAGACAAAGTGCTACGACTGCCGTGCCCTGCGCCATGGCCTGCATAGAGCCTCCTGCCATCCACTGCGAATCCTACACGCACGTCTTGTATATGGCATGTCCTGTGTATGTGTATGATGCGTGTGCGGCCGTATCGGAACGTGTGTCTCACGTGGGTGCCCAGTATGTTGTGCACACGTATTGGGTGTATGATGCAGTGAACATGCGTCTTGTGTGTGCGAGTGTGTGCATGCGTGCGGCTGTATGTAGACGCGTGTCTCATGTACTGGCCGTGCATGTGTTGAGCGCGGGTAAGGGGAGGAAGGAAGAGAGAGGAGGGGAGGT